AAAAGAAAAGGGGTGGATAAGTACGAGATTTTTTTTTTCAATTCAGACAGAGTCTCACTATGTCACCCTCTAAGTAGAGTGCTGTGGTGTCACAGCTCACAGCAACCTCAAACTCTTGGGCTTAAGCAATTCTCCGGCCTCAGCCTCCCAAGTAGCTGGGACTACAGGCATCTACCACAAGGCCCGGCTGTTTTTTGTTGCAGTTGTCATTGTTGTTTTAGCTGGCCTGGGCCGGGTTCGAACCCACCATCCTTGGGTGTATATGGCCGATGCTGTAACCACTGTGCTACGGGTGCTGAGCCAGGTATGAGATTTGTAATGGAGAGAGCCAGAAACCTTAGAACTTGCTGATAAGATGTTGGAGGTGAGGGAGATAGCAGAATAAAAAATGATGTGCTGGGTTTTGGCTTCAAAAACTTGGTCAATGGTGGTTCCTTTGGATGAGTTGGAAAAAACTGGGAAAGGAACAGTTATATGTTTGTTGGGGGAGGTAAAGAAGAGGCACTAATAAAGAGTTCTATTTTGGAGAGATTAAGTTTAAGATGCCTCTGAGATCTCCAAATAGAGGTTTAAGTGGTTTGTTACTTGAGTCTAGCATATAGAAAAGGGTTTGGGTTGAGGATATGAATATGGAAGAAATCAACATACAGATGATATTGCATATTTAATGCCATGGGAAAGAAGGAGGTTACTTAGGGAGAGAGCACAGATAAGGAAGAGAAGCCCCAGGAACTAGTGCTGGGGCACTTGGAAATTTAGATATTGGAGAGAGGAGTCTTTAAAACGGACCAAACAGGAGCAGTCAAAGATCCTGAAGAATTAAGAAAAACGTGTCATGTCAAATAAGGACAGAGAGGGGACAGCGGGAGGAGAGAGTGGTGAACTGTGTTGAACACAGCTAGAAGATGAATTTGGCAACCTGGAGGTGTTCGGTGACCTTGGCAAAGAGGTTCTGGTGGGGTGATAGGACTAAGCTGGTAATGGCTTAGGTTAACAAGAGATGCAAGGCATGGTGGGATTAGCCCTGCAAGGTCAGTTCCAGAGCTGTGATCCAGGGTGCATGGCTTGGTGTTTAATGGTTTCCAAGGCAGCTACCTCCTTAGCCAGCGTGGAGTGGAACAGTTTCAATGGCACAGCATGGTTCTCTCCACTCTTTCACAGTAGTTTCTAAAGGGAATAAAATGTTCATTCATTTGCTCATTCAGAAAAAAATGTATTGAGGAATTAGTGTCAGGTACTCTAGACGCTGGAGATATGATAAAAAAACAAACCAAAAAAAAAAAAAAACCTCCCTGCCCTGCCGGTGTCTATATTTGAGTGACTAGTAAAACAGAACAAATAAATTGCTTTTGCTGTGGATCTGCTGCTGGTCTTAAGTTTATGACCCCTGTTCAAAGGCTTCAAGACAGTCCTTATAGTCAACAAGAATTAAAGTTAAAAACAGGAAACAGGGTCATTTTAGAAACAAGATTTCACATCCAAGTCTATAGTTGTCAACACTACTTTGCAAAAGGTCTCACACTTGCTTTCTGTTGTTTTCAGTTAACTGGCTGGTAAGACTACATGGTTTTTGAAGACAGGAATGGGATTGTCTTATTTCCTTTTAATAATAACAATTAAAATACCAGGTACTGCTACAAGTGTTTTTTTAACCTGCTAACTCCTCACAACAACCCATGTGGTAAATACTATTATTATACTATTTTTAGATGAGGAAGCTGAGAGTAATCTCACAGTAAATTGCCTAAGGTCACAAATTAGAAAGTGACAAAGGTGGGGTTTGAGCCAAAGCAAACTGCCTCTATAGTCTATGCCAGGTGTCCTCAAACTATGGCCTACGGGCCACATGCAGCCCGCCTTGGACATTTATCTGGCCCGCCGGGTGTTTTTGCCAGTGACGCTGCCTGTCCTGCTTAGCAGCCAACTCATCCTGGGGCCCGCAGTCCGGCCCTCCAGTGGTCTGAGGGACAGTGAACTTGCCCCCTGTTTAAAAAGTTTGAGGACCCCTGGTCTATGCTGTTGGTGAAGCCTGCCTCGAAAGAGACTTTATTTTACCTTGCTTCTAAGCAAATATTTACTGGGCTCCAACTAATGGCACTGGGCTAAATCCTGAAGAAAGCAATAAATAGTATAAGACAAATCCATACCTTCAGAGAGCTGTCAGTCTATAGCAAGAGCCCCTTGATCGTGTCTTCCTCTTCAGCCTGTGAGTTATGAATAGTTGTGACATTTTTAAATGGTAGAAAAGACAATTAAAAGAGAAAGGAATATATATCATGACACATGAAAATTATGTGCAATTCAAATTTTAGTATCCCTAAATAAAGGTATATTGGAGCACTGCCACATTCCTTTATGTACTGTCTATAGCTGCTTTCGTGATACAAGCAGCATTGTCTAATAGTTGAAGCAGAGAGTATGTGGTCCACAAAGCCTCAAGTATAATATTTACTATATGGCCTTTTACCGGAAAAATGTGCTGCCCTCTGATCTATTGAACAAGATAGATACATAAATATAATCTCAATACAAAATGAAGAAAGGTGATGTTTGTTGAGAAAAGCAAGAGCTTTAACTCAATGTGACAGTTTTGGATTTGAATTTCTAGCTCCATCTCTACTAGCTATGTGATCTTGGGCAAGTTGTGTAACTTCTCTGAACCTGTACCCCACATCATAATGCCTTTTTGCATATCTTTGTGAGGACTAGAGATAATAAACAATATTAGTTTTATTTGTTTACTAGTGTTTTGTTTGTATAAAACACTCAAAACAATAATATGAGGGGACTTAAAAAAGTTCATGGAAAATGTGTATTATGGACAAACTATGCATACATAGATTTCAATTTTTTTCACTATTTAAAGAATTTTTATTTAAACAAGAATTTTACAATCCAAATTAAATTATCAATTCTGTTACTTCAAACAGAACTGACATTCTGAGTTATTCCAAAGTAAAGAATTACAAAATTGGGGGATAAAGGGGGAAGGAGGGAGGTGGGTGTGGGGCCACAGTGTGTGACACACCTCTTGGGGACGGGACACTATTAATAGAGGGACTTTACACAGCAAACGCAAACAGTATAATCTGGCTCATTGTACCTTCAATGATTCCCCAACAATAAAAAAAAAAAAAAGGCTCAGCGCCCATAGCACAGTGGGTACAGCACTGGCCACATGCACTGAGGGTAGCAGGTTCAAACCTGGCCTGTAGTCCCAGCTACTTGGGAGGCTGAGGCAAAAGAATTGCTTAAGCCCAAGAGTTGGAGGTCGCTGTGAGCTGTGATGCAACAGCACTCTACCCAAGGTGACTCTATCTCAAAAACAAACAAACAAACAAACCCCAAAAAACCGCTTGGCTCAGCACTTGTGGCTCAAGCAGCTAAGGTGCCAGCCACATACACCTGAGCTGGTGGGTTCAAATCCAGCCTGGGCCTGCCAAACAACGATGGCTACAACAAAAAATAGCCGGGCCCAGGCGGCACCTGTGGCTCAAAGTAGGGCACCAGCCCCATATGCCAGAGGTGGCAGGATCAAACCCAGCCCTGGCCAAAAACTGCAAAAAAA